TTGTTAGTTGTGTGTGTGTGTGTGTGTGTGTGTGTATATGTATATTTAAAAAATTAATTGCTGATTAATTAAATCAGTAGTGTTGCCTACAGCAATATTTTTGGCTATAATCGAATCTTCCTTTCCATATAGTTTGTATATAATTTAAAATATACAATACTTGTATACAGTAATAAAAATTAATTTCCAATTAATCCTTTGTCTATAATCTGTATCTTTTTTGGTACAAATAAAATTTTATTCTCAAATTCTTCTGAAATAAAGAGATTTTTATTAAAAAAAGTTTTTAACATTTGAGTCAAAAAATTATTTGATAATGTAATAGAGATAAGTAACAGATATTAAAAAATAACTCTGAACTTTTCCAGATTTTTTGGAAGTCTAGAAGAGTAAAAAGAACTTCAATTGGACAAAAGAAATCTAAATTGCAGAAGTAGAAATGTGATTGCGAAGAGTTGTTAATAAGTTAATTAGAATGCAGGCAGAATTAATAAAATTCAAAGTACAGTACAGGTTTTCACTTGATAAATTAATCGCCGATTAAATTAATTGGAATTTATTTCAAATCACCCTCCCCCATCAAGATCATTATTTTTCATTGCATTTTTTTGATTGCCGAATACCGCACAAGCGTCGCCGATTATTCCGTTCAACTCGATAATGCACAAATCCAATCTTTCCTTGATTTTATTTACGTCACTTCTTTTATTACTGCTTGCAATTGCGCTTTTCTGTCCATTACTCGAATCCACTTCGCGATCGGAGGGGACTTTTACGCTTTGTAAGTTATTTTCGTGCTTACGACTGCCATTCACCCCTTTATTTTCGAAACTAGATCCAGCAATTTCTTCTTTATAATTTTGACGCCGTAATTCATTTTGTCGCGCCTCCAAATCATTCTTACGTGTCAAAAGTCTTCTCAGCCGCAACCTTTCGAGAAAATTTACTTTCGTACTGCAATATTTCGTATTTTCTTTCAATTCTCCATCTCTATTGCGCACATTTTGTATTTGCATAATTAATTTTTTGTCGTTTTCATAAGTTATTCTTTCTACTTCCTCTTTATCGAGCCTCTCAAACTTTTCTGTCTTCATATCTCTATCATTCGTCGCCTTCATTTCTTCCTTAATTACATTACGAGATTTGTCGCTAATCCCTGTTGCATCCAACGGCCTGTTGATCTTATCTCGTAGTCCAACGTCAAACTTCTCACTCGCCGAAGCCCTTTTCCTCTCTGCCTTCCGCATCGAAATATAATGTCTTCTTGACTTCAGTCTGAAGCAATTGAGAAAAAATCGGCCCGCTTGGTTACGATATCCGGTCAAGGCGCATTGCACGCCTCTGGAAATTCTTTTCCTTTTGATTTTGGATGTAAAAACAACAGGATTCGCGGGATCGCAACCCTTCTCGTAAACGATCTTATTTCGGTGTTTGTCGACCCTCTCATTTGCAACGCGCGAGGTTCTCACGTCTCCGGGTCTCCCCTCGATTTCTCCCCCGAACTTTTTGGCATCCGAAATGGACCTTCGATACGACGTTTGAACAGCGCGCGATCTATTTGGCCGTTCATCATCTTCGATTGATTTATCGTCACGCGGGCGATCCTCTTTAAATGCAGCCACCTCGTTCGTCGCTTTTACTTCCCGCGCACGTTTCGTGAATGATAAACGAGCGGATAAATCAGTGCCGCCTGGCGAATCGTCCTCTTTAAAATTTCTTCGCGACTCGTTCCGCGCACCCGTTCGATTCTCACCGTTTTTCATCGAGTCATTAAATCTCGATGGTGCCGGACTGGAACATCAAAATGTTTCTTCATGCGTGAAGTATTAATCGCCAGGAAAGATATCGCTTTGTCAAATTCGCCCTACTTACTTTTATAATTATAAGTTAATATATAGCACACATAAAAAGAAAAACACGCGTCACACTTTGACGTGACCAAATCGTGATAAAAAAATCGGGATTGACTTTTCCATGTAAGTATTGAGAAAAAAAAAATCTGTTCTATATTTATGTATTTAATACTAACAATATATATTTTATATATATTAAAGATATACATATATATATATATGTGTGTATTTATTATAAAAAAAAGAAATTGTCGAGAATTTGTTATACATAATTCTTCATTGATTATACCTTGATGAATTATGCGCCATGACTGAAGAAATTATATTATTTTCACTTTTAATTGTGACAATGTCTTCTCGTAATTGCAAAATCCTGGCATTCAATTTAGCTACAGCAGTGACAACACTATCGATATTAATTTCCGCATTCTCGGATAAACAATGGGACGAGGTGGAAACAAGTCCATTCGAAATATGCATATCCATTAACTATTTCTTTTTACAGCTGCTTTAATTGCGATTATAAAGAGGAAACAACTGTAATAATATTTGACACTTGAATATGATAATGATTTTTTTCATATAATAATAATAAAATTGGCAATATTCCTTCGGAGAGGAAGAGTCTTGTTGTTCTATTGTTACGTTAAGAAATAAATGTGTAACTATTTCTTTTTCTAATCGCTAATCGGCAAGAGCAAAATAAAATTAATAATCAACAATACGTTTTCGCTTGCGAATAACGTCGCATCGCTTAAATGTCAAAACGATGTGAATGATCTTCACGTCGAAGAATGTTCGCCCGAGACAACTAAATTTTTCCGGAAGTTAAATAAAGTAATGAAGAGGGGAAAATAATAAATTTAAGATGTGATTACCGTGTCGCCGGGAATTTCCGAGATGGCGGAGGAGAACGTCGACGGTGTCCTGACGCGCCTGGACGAGATCGAGAAACTGCAAACGGAATTGCGGCATTTAGTAGTGCCGCGTGTCACGAATAGCTCATCCAGATACGCTGGGCGCCAAGATTCAACCCCCCGCGATTCACCCCGCGATTCACCCCGCGATTCACCGGTGTCAGTCCGCTTCCCGTCCCTCTTCACGTTTCCCGTAATTTCGAATTTTACGTCGACGCCGAGGAACGAAAAAGATGTGAAAAAATCAGCCGCACAATTGAATCTCAATGGGAGATCGTCGAGCGGCAACCAACCACGCTCCACGGTAAATCTACGAAAGACGGGAGGATCTTCTCAAAGCGGAACGTCCGCGGGGGAGGCGAATGTCTTTAAGAGTCTATTGAGAAGCAGCTACAACGTTGGGAGGTCACATCCGAGAAATTCTTCGGCCTCGACTCCCGCAGCGGATTCGAGGGTGCCGATAAGGAGTGGTGGTATCGCAAATCGAATGCCCAAGGTACCGCAAGAAGCAATTAAAAAGAGATTAAAGATCGAGACGTCGAGGGCTGCAGCCAGAGATAAAACGCAGCGTGCGACCGGCGAGAGATCCAACATGCGGCTATCCGGAAATGAAAATAATGTGGATTCAAGTGAGTGGCGTATATTCTTATATAGTTTTCCCATTGATTTTTGTATATATATATATAATTTTTTATTTGTTATATATAAAATTTGTTATTTATTTAATTAAGAGATTTTATATCCTCCCTTTCTTAATTTTCTCCGGCTATTTCGAATGGCTATTTATTAATTTTCTAGTTTCTTGATAATCCTGCATTCAGTATGCTCGTCTGTGCAGACATCGGACATTCAGATTGACGTGACGGAAGCTACGGAATCGCGACTAATAAGAAGAAATAGGCCTTGCAACGGAAGCGGGCTTGTCGAGCGAATAATGAAAAAATTTAACTACTGTTTCGTGGATGATAAGAGGGTTACTGTCCCGTATCATCACCCGGGAAGTAGGACACCTAGAAGAGTGCAGATATTACATTCGCCAGCGATTGAAGAAATGGAAACTCCGCGATTACATGGCGTATCCGAAACGCCAAAATTTTTGTCAATTAAAAATGTGACGCATCAAAAAAAAAAATCAATTGAAAATATAAAAATATGATAATATTATGATAAATACAAAGTAATAATGACACTACGTTAATATTACTATATAACATTATTGATTTCTTATTCAGTTCAATATAACTATTTTATGTACAACATGTATTCATAGTGTTGTGTGAAAATTATAATATTGATGTAATGTTACTGTTAGTTTGTATTTACTAGGCTACTTTGCAAAATAAAATAATTTACAGCTTCGAAGATATAATTCTGATGATCCGACTATGCATCCGACTTGAAATTGAGAAGCAAGCTCTTGTCTTCGATTGGTATATTTTTTTAGATCCAAAAGAATATACCAATCAGAGACAAGAACTCAACGAGCACGCAAATCCAGCTAGCAAATCAGCAGGAAAAAGAGTATCGTGTGCCGCTGACTTTAGTTATTACAAGGCAGCAACTAGGTATTTGTTACAACTATTGGCGATATAGTCAAAGTTGGTTCAACTGTAAATACTAGATTCGACAACTATATTCGGCGTTACGTTGAATATAGACGAATATAATATTTTTGACAGTACGTGGTTTTAAGGTTATCTCGATATCAAAAAGCAAATATAAACCACTTTGTTATTAGTCAGTTTCTTATTAATAAAATCGTATTGTGAATTGTTATATGAAACTGTCATTATTTCTTCAACAGATGGCAATTATTAAAAAATGATGATATATGTGTTTTGATCAAGAAATTAATAATTAATTTCCTGTAACAATGTAGAAATACATATTTGTGAAGTCATTGTGTTGTTTTGAATCATAATATAGATATATTTGCATCAACAAATACAAAAATGGCACTTATCAACATTGAAGGAATTGATCCTTGGTAAATTTATAAACAATATTTTATTTAAACAACACTTGCTTTTTATGTATCTAATCTATTATATATAGATAGTTTTAAGCAACGATATTTTAATTTTATCATTATTAATTATTGCAATTTAATTACCATATATAAAAGTTTGATTAAAACTTGTCAATGTGATTAGGCTCATAGAATATGATGCGTGTGAAAAATTGTTTCGTGAGATTATGGAACAGCTCACTATGCGTGATGGAGAACCAAAGACGTCAAAGGCTTATGGTAGTTTGTCAGCCAATATAAGATTACGTATGAAGCAGTATACGCGGGAAGTTCAGCAATTAAAGAACAAAGTAGAAGAAGCTTCTAAATTGAGAACAATGTATTTTTTCATATATATTTGTATTAATTTTTTAGCATAAGTTTATATTTTAAGATAGTAACTCTAAAATGAATCATAAATTTTTTAAAACACAATTTGACAGAACATTTGAGGAAGCTGAACGTAGGACAAGACAAGTGGAACAATTACAGAGCAAGGATATTCAGTTACAAAAATTATATGAGCCACGTACAAATGATTATGTATCGTCGCGCGCTAATCTATTAAGAACAAACTCATCAGCTTTCGCTGATGGTGGCACAACCTCTTGGGCTGCTGACGATGACGACGACAAACCATTAGACGTACAAGTATCTGTTACTGATCTTATGACTCAGCAAGAGCGAGTATTGATGGGTAATAATAATAATAATAATAATTCTCAGAAAAAATATTGATGATCATACATTGCACTTCCAATATTTTGCTTTCCTTGTAGAACAAGATAAAGGTTTGGAAGAGTTATGTAAGGTGATAGTTCGGCAAAAAGAAATTGGTCAAACTATTAGCAATGAAGTGGATCACCAAAACGGTGAGTAGTATAAAAAATTTTGTATTGTAAGCAATATGTAAGATAATGTCTTTATATAAAAATAATTTTTCAAATTTTTATATTGTGATATAGAAGTAATCGATGATCTGGCTGATCACATGGATAGGACTGATGAATCTTTAATCAACAAAACTCAACAGGTTCGTAATATAAGTTCCAAAGACCGAACATGTTGTTATTGGGTAATAATACTTATACTTTTCATTGCTATTGTTGTTATCTCTTTATATACATATTGATTATGTTACTTCAATCTTCTTTTATAAATTGCCTCTATCTAAAATAATCATGCTAAAATATTTATAAATTAAGTATATAAGAAAGTAAGAACGTAATATATTATAACTTCTTATCCGTTTATCTAAGATTATTTAATATGATTTATTGAATTAGTATAATCATATATAAATAATAAGATGTGTAAATAAGAAAAATATTAATTTTTATCATTTATTAATATTGCAAATTTGTTTTATAAGTATATCATTCAATGTCTATTTTTATATATATTGAGATACTGTTATATTAATTATATGTAAAATTTTATCTAATTAAAATATATTTAGTTAGTTAAGAATAGTATTAATTGTCTATAAGAATAAATATCTATTCTTAAAGATAAATAAGAAGAGTTGTAAGAAGAGTTGATATATTGGAAATGGGAAATAAAAGGGTTGATATAATTAGACTTGTTACATATTTTACATTTTTCTTTTTTTTTGTCTCTTTTATATCATAAATATCTATCCGGAATCTGGTTCTATGCGAACTTTCTCGGCGCCTGGGGATATAAAGAAAAATAATACTATCATTTCTGTGCTTAATTCACGCTTAAATAAAACGTACCGAAGAACTCTAGACTGTTTTGTGCCAGATATCCGCTTTCTCAGTTTCGCCAGCATTTGTAATGAAGTGTAGTGATCTTCAACGCGTTTTCTCATTATTATTCTGCTGAAACAATTGATAAAACGAATGCCTCGACTCCTTTTCCTTTTGCAATCAGATCAATGTAAATTATTCGATATTGCTATTGTTGTCTGTAGGCATGCTACTAGACATGCTACTAGATTGAAATACGTATGTACAATTGGCGCAATTATTTCCTTTCCAGCGGATATATCGCATAAATTTACAACACCCTCCGATTACCTTCGTTTCACAAGCTGGATTTACTTTTTAATAGTTACTAGTCGCCGAGAGCATGTCGCTCTTTCATAACACAACACAGTGAGATCTTATTACAACGTCCCGCGTCGAATCTCTCTGAGCTGATGATATTGTTGTACTGCAAATTTTCTTACATCGAATTATGCTCGCATAAGTAGAACGCCTTGCCATTGAGTTCAATAAAACTTCTCCTCTGCCTATAATCTCTGATTACAACAGAATTTTGCTGCGCTACCGCTAGTGGTTACTAAGAATTGTGTTTTTTTTTTTTTTTCTCAACACAGAAATCGCTACAAGCGTCACATCAATTATTCAGATTTTCGTACTGAACCAAACTGCTTCTTGATCATATAAGAACAGCTCTACGGATACCTGTCTACATTAACAGCCGATCAAATATTTATGCAACAGGGGATCGTTTCCCAAGACATTAGTCAAAGTTAACTGACGTTCAAACCGATGCTCTGCCTCTTTCTAAAAGACCGAGGAAAAAAGAGAGAGAGAGAGAGAGAGAGAGAAGAGAGAAGAGAT